TTGTCCTCCTCTTGGCCGCGCCCCTGAACTCTGTCAACTCTGTGGCTGGGCTGTGTGGCTGGGCTCTGTGTCCAGGCCTTGTCCTCCTCTTGTCCTCCTCTTGGCCGCGCCTCAACTCTGTGGCTGGGCTTTGTGGCTGTTCTCTGTGGCTGGGCCTTGTCCTCCTCTTGGCCGCCCCCTGAACTCTGTCAACTCTGTGGCTGGGCTCTGGGCTCTGTGGCTGGGCCTTGTCCTCCTCTTGTTCTCCTCTTGGCCGCGCCCCTGAACCCTGTCAACTCTGTGGCTGGGCTCTGTGGCTCGGCCTTGTCCTCTCTTGGCCGCGCCCCTGAACTCTGTCAACTCTGTGGCTGGGCTCTATGGCTGGGCCTTGTCCTCCTCTTGGCCGCGCCCCTGAAGGTGGCTGGGCTTTGTGGCTGGGCCTTGTCCTCCTCTTGTCCTGCTCTTGGCCGCGCCCCTGAACTCTGTCAACCCTGTGGCTGGGCTCTGTGGCTGGGCCTTGTCCTCCTCTTGTTCTCCTCTTGGCCGCGCCCCTCAACTCTGTCAACTCTGTGGCTGGGCTTTGTGGCTGTTCTCTGTGGCTGGGCCTTCTCCTCGTCTTGTCCTCCTCTTGGCCGCGCCCCTGAACTCTGTCAACTCTGTGGCTCTCCTCTTGTCCTCCTCTTGGCCGCGCTTCAACTCTGTGGCTGGGCTCTGTGTCCAGGCCTTGTCCTCCTCTTGACTCTGTGGCTGGGCTCTGTGTCCAGGCCTTGTCCCTCCTCTTGGCCGCGCCGGGCTTTGTGGCTGGGCCTTGCCCTCTGTTGTCCTTCTCTTGGCCGCGCCCCTGAACTCTGTCAACTCTGTGGCGGGGCTGCGGGGCTGGGCTCTGCCTCTTGTCCTCCTCTTGGCCGCGCCCCTCAACTCTCTGGCCTTGTCCTCCTCTTGTCTGCGCCGGGCTCTGTGTCAAGGCCTTGCCCTCCTGTTGTCCTTCTCTTGGCCGCGCCCCTGAACTCCGTCAACTCTGTGGCTGGGCTCTGTGGCCGGGCCTTGTCCTCCTCTTGGCCGCGCCCCTGAACTCTGTCAACTCTGTGGCTGGGCTCTGTGTCTGCGCGCGCTCTGACATACGCTGCAGAAAGGCGCGCTCAGAGCGTGCTACAGACTCTACAGAAAGAAAGACAGAGAAAGATAAACTTAAAGAGAAAGAAAGAGAAAGAGAGAGAGAGAGAGAAAAGAAAGAAAGAAAGAAAGAAAGCGAGAAAGACAGAAAGCAGGGCGAGCGCGCGCGCTCGTGTGCTATGGACCGCGCACTCACGCTCCAGAAAGGCGCGCTCAGAGCGCGCTGCGCAGAGAGAAAGACAGAGAAAGAAACACTTTAAACAAAAATGAGCGAGAGAGAGAGAGAGAGAGAAAGAGAGAGAGAGAGAGAGAGAGAAAGAAAGAAAGAAAGAAAGACAGCAGGGCGACCGCGCGCGCCCGCTCGTGTGCTTTGGACGGCGCGCTCTGGCGCGCTCTGGCTCGCTCTGAAATACGCTCCAGAAAGGCGCGCTCAGGGCGCGCTCTGCAGAGAGAAAGACAGAGAAAACATTTAAAGAGAAAGAGAGAGAGAGAGAGAGCGAGAGAAAGAGAGAGCAGGGCGAGCGCGCGCACGCTTGTGTGCTATGGACGGCGCGCTCACGCTCCAGAAAGGCGCGGTCAGAGCGCGGTGCGCAGAGAGAAAGACAGAGAAAGAAACACTTAAAGAGAATGAGCGAGAGAGAGAGAGAGGAAAGAAAGAAAGAAAGAAAGAAAAGAAAGAAAGCAAGAAACAAAGAAACAAAGAAAAGAAAGAAAGAACGCAAGCAAGCAAGCAAGAAAGCAAGAAAGCAAGAAGGAAAGAAAGAAAGAAAGAGAGAAAGAGAGAAAGAGAGAGAGAGAGAGAAAGAGCAGGGCGAGCTGGGACGGCTTACTGGGCTCTTGTCCTCCTCTTGTCCTTGTCTTGGCCGCGCCCGTGAGCTGGGCTCTGTGGCCGGCTCTGTGTCCGGGTCTTGTCCTCCTCTTTTCCTTGTTTTGGCCGCGCCCTGAACTCTGTGGCTGGTCTCTGTGGCCCGGCTTCCTGGAGAGGAGTGTGGCCGAACAATTAGCGATGTCAATGCCAACAAAAATTCATTGATGAAGCAGTTCGCTCTTGGGGTGTAAGTAGGGCGTACCAAGAAATCGATGTTTGACCAATATTGGTCTAAACGAATCGTTTTGAAGCTGTTTGGGGTCTATGCTGGAATAATTGACCAAGTGTTAGTACATGACCTCTTCTTTTCACGAAAGGTAGCCTGGTAAGGACTACCTTGAGTTTGCTTTGCGAAGCAAAATGACTGGCTTGAGAGCTTGCTCGGGATTAAAGATTGGTAGATCAATGTCTAACACCCCCACCCCCTCCCTCCCCCCCCCCTCCCATGTGATGAATCATTGATATATCAATTGATTCGCCCCTCCCCCCCTCCCCTCCACTCCCCTCCCCGTCCCCTCCCCTCGTCGCCAGCGCTACCTGGACATAAGGTGAAGTCATGCGCTTAACAGTCACAGCAGTACGACGCTGGCCATGAGGTTGCGCAATACAGCACGAACCCTGCGCAATGAGGTCACGCAATGCAGCTTCGATGCCGCGCGCGCGCGCGCCCGGCAGCCTGACACAGCGCGTACTGCGTTCACAGACCATATTGCTCGACAGCAACGAGCATCGATGCAACACAGCCTCTCTGCAAAGCCCTGTGGAGAAACCCCTCGCGTCGCGGAACACCATTCGACTCAGCCTTATACCCTAGCGTGGCGAAATCTTACCGCATCGTGGAGCACACCCACCATAGCGTGACGTCCATCCCTGGCAGTACCGGCCGCACCCCTCCAGCACTATCCTTACAAGGGGGTTGGTCACTGAGTCACTGCGGCTTCGACGCAACGCGTGCAGGCCTGTAATCCTGACACAGTGCGTGCAGCTGTGGGACCATAGCTGGTACACATGCGAGCGTTTACGCATTGCGACTTTTTACGCGCGCCTGTTTTCACACACCTAGACACAAACGAGCATCGACGCAACGCAGCCTCTCTGCAGAGCCGTGTGGCGCAATCTGACCGCAACGGTGTTCCTCTTGAGCCTTCTTATGCCTTCTTGTGCTCTCTGGCTTTGTTGGTTTCATCCACTTGGTGTTGTTTAGTGGTTGCGTGGTTGCGTTTTGGTTGTTTTTGGTTGTTATTGTTGTCTGTTGTTGTTGCTGGTGGTGGTGCTTGTGGTTGTGGTTGTGGTTGTGGTGGTTGTTGCTGTTGGTTCCCTGAGGATCCGATATTGAAAAACATCAATATCGCAAAAAGTTTTCAATAAATCGCAGGATTGTTCAAGATTGAATCAATATTTTTGATTAAACCAATATCATGATCAATACCAATGTCAAAAAGGAACTCCACAGGATCTCCACGATCAAATTTATTATCAGAATTAATTTAGATTATTAATTATTAATAACATCAATGTCATTGAAATATTTTTGGCTTCCAAGTTGAAAAATTTGGTGTCAAATAATATCGGATCTTCAGCCTGGGTCTAAGCTTTGGGCTTGGTTGCATCTTGCGCGCCGCCCCGCGCGCGCCGACGAATACATTTTTCAATTGCCCGGCGCGCCGGGCGCGCGACTAAACTACGACGACGACGACCACCACAGCCACCACCAGTCGACCAGGACCACCATGCAGGGACCACCAGACCACCGCCAGCCCAGCACCACCAGACCGGACCACCACCACCCCCGCACAGCGCTGCAGTCAAATTTTATGAGCCTAAGTCGACGAGTGAAACTGGTGAGACTCATGCTGCTGTCCTACCCCGCTGATAATGACGACGAAGTCCGTAGACATTGACATCCGTAAGATGTAGCTGGGACAAAGTCCGTAGACTTGTCCGTAAATCAGATGATCCGTAGATCCTGGGACACAACTGAAGTCCGTAGACTAGACTTAGTCCGTAGACAAATCAGATGATCCGTAGATCCTGTAGGGCCCGTAGACTTGGCTGTAGTCATTGACAAAAGATCTGTAGCCGAGGGACACAACATCGGTCCTGGTCCATGGCAGCGGATGTGGCTGAGTCGCTGTGCACTGAACTGAAACAGCTGCGGCGAGACAAGACAAGCGGCGGTGTTGACGATGGCGAGGCGGCGACAACGGCGGCAAATTGCTTTTTTTCCACTCAGTCGCTGGAGCCCAGTCCAGGGGCGCCCTTACCAGCGCCACCTCCAGAATTGCCTATTAGCCTCACTTCGACAGCTGCCACATTTGGACGAGAATGCCAGAGCCATCTGGCCCAGGATCCTTGTCTGGCCCGCCCCCAGGACCTTTCTCCGCCGGTCCGTTTTCGGTCCAGGGCGGTGTCGTCCCCGTCTTGGCTTTCTTGTTGCGGCGCTTCGGGTTCTTAGGCACTCGACGTGGGCCGTTTTTTTGGTCATCTTCCCAAGCCTTGTCGCTCATTTTTTGCCCCTCAGTCACACATTCCGGCCAGGTACCGTAGTACCTGAGCCACAAATGACACGCCAGGTGATATGGCGATCGCATGCTGATATATTCCAGCAGCCCCTCCTCCGACGCTCCGTCCGCAAGTTGCGCAGACCACGCGGGCATGAGGGTTGCCGCTTACCAGTTTTCCGCCTTTGCCGACGGTCGTCCAGGCGGGCGACACATCGACGTCATCCGACTCGTCGTCGTCGTCGTCGTCGTCATTGGAGTCGTCACGCTTGGCATTGGCATTGGCGTCGTCGCCGTTGCCGGCAGTCTTGTCGCCTCCGCCGGCCGGAGCCGTCTTGTCATTGTTGTGAGTGCGTGCTGGCCCTTTGACAGGTTGAACGGTTCCTGTATACCCCTGTCTTGCTGCCATCCATTTCACTGCCAGTCAATGGCAGAGGCATTTCGGAGTCAAAGCCAGGAAACTCTTTGTGAATTGTCTTGAGGTCGGCTTCTACTTCTGCGTAGTATAGGATGCGTTTGTCAAATCAGCTGTCGCAGTGGCAGCGCCAGCGGCAGCCATGGCATCGTGGTCCACCTTGTCGCCGCTCTTCTTCTTCGCCGACTTCGTCGTAGGCTTAGTTTCAGAATCCCCCTTGGCGGCTATGGCAGCTGCGCTTCTCTTCCTGGCCTCACAAGCCTGGACTTTGCGCGTTTGAATTTCTCGCTTGACCGTCTTCGAGTCTTCTCCATTGGCGACTCTGGCCTGCAACTAATTCTCCTCACATTTCGAGAGTCTCCATGAGGAAATGTTCTTGATCTCCCCCATGTTCGTGCAACTGACACGGCGGTTCGGGACTCACTCAAAGGGCACTGCGGGCTGGAGCTTCAAAAACTGCAATGGCAATGAAAATGAGATTAAATTAGAAGAAAGCACGATGCCTTGTTTTAAGGGAATGGGGAGCGCAACCGCTAAACGTCGCTCGGCTTACCCGGGTCCAGCCCGGGCTGGACCCGAGTAAGGGAAGGGGAAGCGCAACGGCTAAACGTCGCGCGGCTTACCCGGGTCCAGCCCGGGCTGGCTCCGAGTAAGGAGTGGGAAAATCGATTTTCTGCCACGGTCGGGCCCGACGGTCATGAGTACTGGAACTGGGGGAATCCCAGTTCGCTTCCCCGGGTCTGGCCCGGGCTGGGGTCGAGTAAGGTATACGGCAAAACTTGCGGCCGCGATTGGAAAGCGATTGTCATAATCTCTTACAACGAAATCCTATACCCTTACCCGGGTCTAGCCTGGGCTGGGGTCGAGTAAGCCAACTGGGGTTTTCCCAGTCTGGTTACCCGCCCCCGTTGCCCCGCAACCGCTATACGTCGCGACGAGGTCAAATTGACATCGTGACGAGGTCAGTTTCACGTCGTTTGAAAAAGTTGAGTAGTGAGACCGGGTGCGTGCTCACCGCTGACGTTTCTCCAAGGGTTTGAGGAGAACTTCGCCATGCCTGCGCACGTCATGCCAGCCATGACCACCTGAGTCAGCACATTGATGCTCATTGCGTCCCCAATGCTGCCAGCTATGGTTTGTGGCGAGAGACCATGCACTTCAGCGGCTCGAGACATGGCTTGCAAAACCTGGGACGGAAGTCCTTGCAACGCAGCAGCTTCCTGAAGAAGCAGACGGCGACGAAGCTTCGGAATGTAGTAGCCGGCCTGTTGGAGACGTGTCTTTGTCAGACATGGAGATGCGTTCGTCATCACTGATTGAAACTTTTCCGAGCTACCAACATCCTTATATGGAAGCTCTGCAACTAAACTGGCCCCCTCAAGTCTGTGCTGGCCCGCTAAACTTTCAAAATGGCTCAGTGATTCACATCGGTAGGGCTGACCGAACAACGCCCACACATGAATCTTGCCCTTGCTCGCAAGCCAGCATCCTCCTGGTCGTGCTGTTGTGCCTCGCACTTCCAAACATTTTTCACTTGCTTTTACTTTATTGAGCCAATACTCCTTCAAGACCAGGATCCTGTCATTCTCTTTCGGCCCCAATGTCCATGTGTCAGGAATCTTTGCAGGCGCCTCCTTGTTTGTTCTTCTTCCTAGACGTCGTAGCCTTCATTGACTTTCTTTTGGCAGTCATTTTCTGACGCGGTGCCACTGAATGCTTTGAGCCAAGAAATTGCGCTTTGAGCCAACTAATAGGAATTTACAGACGCTGCAACAGTCGGAAACATTCGTCTGAGACAGTCGGTCCTGGTGTATTAGCCACAAATTAAGTTAGTTCCATCAACGATGGCGAACAGCAGGCAATTTACCGACAGTAACAAAACAACAGATGGGCATTGCTTCCTACATGCCAAGCAGTCGCCCCGATGTTTTTCACTGCCACGTTGCAGCACTGCTCAGTCTTAGACTTGCCACTCAGTGAGATTGCCTGAAGTGCACTTGGCATTTATATGTCTGGGCCCGTAGACAGACTGTTAGACCACCAAAAGTCCTGGGCTTCTCACACCGGAACCTTTCTGGTCACCGTCACAGTCAGGTGAGTGAGTTAAACTTGCGCTCTGAACCCTTAGGTTCTTCCCTTTCCTGCCCACATGACGAACACAGCGTGTCGTCATGGTCTTCGGGTGGCACCTTTGCTGCCTTGGCTGCTTCCAACTTGTCTGCTTGAGGCGCAGGAGGCGTGAAAGCAGCTAAACGCGCTTTTATGTTGCTGCGGCGGTCATGAGAAGCATCCATGACTTGCCGCAGGATCCTGTCGGCCTGGGCCAACTCCCGATCACTGATGTTGAGCTCTTGTTGCAGCGCAGAGTCCTCGAGCTTGTCACACACGTCATCCCAAGCGACAACAGCCGACATGGCTTCGACGCTGAACACCGTCATCTCTTCAAATTGACTCAGCAAGCCGGTACCCATGGCTACAATTCGGCTGCTGTCTAAAATTGGCTGGAGTACTGAGACTGAAAATAAGCGAGGGCGGCGAGGACCACAACAAGGCTTCCGATAAGGATGAGTTTTTATATCCGTGTATCCCTGAGGATCCGATATTGAAAAAAAATCAATCTTACGATTGGTCCCAATTTTCAATATTGAAAATGGAAGCCAAAATATAATAGCATGATCAATATTGGTCATGAGATATTGGTCGATATTGGTCAATTATTGGTTTCAAACATTGATCATGATATTGATCAATGATATTAGTCAATATTGATCGTGGAGTTCCTGTCGAGTTCCTGTGGAGTTTAGAATCCTGTGGAGATCTCTGGAGTTCCTTTTGACATTGATATTGGTCTTGATATTGATCATTTGATTAAAATATTGATTATTTTCTCAACCTTCAGTATTGAAAAAGAACAATCCTGCCATTGAAAAAATATCAAGTTCAATATTATTGAAAACTTTTTGCGATATTGTTTTTTTTTCAATATCGGGTCCTCGGGATTATAAGTTACAACTCAATGACAACAAGTAACTAATCCAACAACCAACAACCACACACAACAAACCACAACGACAAACAAACAACAACAACAACCAACAACCCAACCAACCAACCAACCAACCAACCAACCAACCAACCAACAAACAAACAAACAAACAAACAAACAAACAAACAAACAACAACAACAACCACAACAACAACCACAATGAACAACAATGACAACAATGACAACAGCTACCCCAACCACAAACCACCAGGATGACAACAACAATGACCCCAACCACAACCACAACCACCAGGATGACAACAACAATGACAACAAAAAACAACCAAAAGGCAACCGCGCAACCGCTATACAGCGCCAAGTCCATGATTGACCAAGGGGCACGTTCCTGAAACACCGGAGACAGTCCCTCACCAGAAAAGGTCCCGACAGCTACTCGGTCCGTCTCTGCCTTTCGTGTTTCCCCGCTCAAGTGCATACATGCAGGGTCGGCCAGGTTGGGCTTTGATGGCAGTTTGCAAATACTTGTTCTACTGTGGACAATGCCAATTGTATAACAATCAGAACTGATTATATTATACATATAGAAGTGTTGGCCAGATAAGGAAAGATTGTTCAGATGCCGGGGCATGCCAATTTGGGTGCTGCAGATCATTCCTTCAATCCAAGGCCATGGTGTTTACATCAGTGGACTCAGAAGGCCTGTGGCGATTTTGAGATGGTAGTCCAGCCATAGTGGAGCAGGTTGCAGGATACTTTTGAAGGCGTCTTGGCCCAGGAAACTTCCCGCAAGGATCTCTGACTCTGGATTTTTCCATTCGAGTTGGAACCCCGGGAAAAAGGAAATGCCAGAGGCAAAGCCGCGAAACGATCTTTGCCAAAATGAAAGAAAGGTTTGCCTTTCCTGAGGCACATGCTCAGCTGCTGCCCTCGACCTCTCGGATTATCAGGTCCAAACTCGTGGATGCTCCGTCTTGACAAGTACAGAGAAGTACTCTTGTACAAAACGCAGAAGTGCAGAGTGTACACTCGTGTTCAATGTTTTCGACCGTGGGCTTTGTTTGCAGGCAGTCACGCAATGGTGGCTTTTGGGGTGTTCTACTTAGAGCAAACAGATAAAGACAAATGAGATCAAATGAGATGTGGACTGGTTTAGTGCAGAAGAACAGATGTAGACGGGCATGCTCTTGCACCATTTCAACTTGCAGAATCTGCACTTGGGAACTCTTGTAGGCAAATCAGGGCAGATTTGCCAAGTAGATTCCATTCTACAGATTGCATGCCGATGCTGCTGCTATTGAAGGTATGAGGGAGTCATACTTCTATCCATACATTGACTTGGGCTTTACCCTGCTGGAAGAGGCGGTGTTTGGGAGTTCTGCTTTGAACCATTGAGACTAAGTGTGCGTGTGCAGATCGTGCAGATGAACATGACTGACTTGTCCAGGTCGTCGGGCTCGGTGCAGCACGGCTTCAGGCTCGAAGAGAGGCAAGCAGCCGAAGGGCGGAAGTTGCAATAACATGGACAGCTTCTATGATCTTCTATGCACTTGGCCTTGCTACAAGTTGCCCACTAGTAGGACAACAAGTCGTTTGTATATTTGTAACTTGTTGAACGGCGGCACGAGGCCAGGACAAATCAAAAAGTTTCTGTTGTTGGCCCGACCCTGAGCCTCTTGAAGTCAGGATAGTTGCTTGCTCAAGAAATGGGGCAGCCCAAGCCTAGACGTACAAGTCAGGTTTGGAAGGCTTGGGTTTGCATGTTTCATCTCACTGATTCACTTATTACTTGATCGTGGGGCTGCCAGCAAGCAGTGGGCCTTGCTCCGAACTATGGCATCTTCCCTCACCAAGACGTTCTTTTGTTTCCTTCGGTGGTGTCCTCCTCGGGTGGCGAGGCCACAACGAGGCTGTTGTTGGAAGGACGATACGTCGCGCGCATTGCAGCAGTTTCTCAAAGACCACGAGGAAAGATTTTGTGCTTGGGGCCACTCTGCGTCGCCGAGTGCTCCATGTCGGACTTGAACAGTCAGAAGCTTGCGCGTATTGATGACGCCGCGAGGGGTGGCCAATCTGAATCCTCTCTAGAACAAGCAAGTCCCCATTCTGAATCCTCTCACGCGTATCTGAATCCTCTCTGAATCTCCTCATTCTATGCAGTCCTCTTCACGACCATAGCCTGCCATTGCCCTGATGCAGCGAGCGAGCGCAGTGTTGGGGATCGCGTGACGATCTGCTGGGCCTGTTTATGCAAGGCAATGGTGTGGCAAATGAGCAAGCTTGGCAGCTGCGGTAGGCACTGACCAGCTTCAACCGGTACTCTCGGTTTGTCGAAGCAGCTGGCCGCCGAGTGTTGAAATTTTTGGTGAGCATGTACTTTGATGACTTGCGCATCTCCAACCTCAGCACCAATGGACCTTCCAACAGGTCATGGCCTTGACTTCGACTTCTACAGTTGCTTCACACCAGTTGGTCGCTTTCTGGGTAGTTGTCGAGCGTTTGGAGACCAAAGCCAAGGAGATCCTATTGGTTGCGGGGGCCCGGCTCCATTGAAATGGCGCCAGCAGCAACGGGCCTCTGAGTCCGTCGATTTTGCACCGGTTCGGGCTCATCGAAGCCCTGTTGTGGTTGAAGCCTCGTCGTGAAGTACCATTGCAGCTGTCACGCTAGTAGCTCAGGTGGTTTCCTTTTTGCGCGGGAAGATGCTGCTATACTCAGTTACGCGAAGCTTTTGCCGCGCGCACTCCACCGGATAGGTTCGCTTCTGAGCGCAAGATCGCTCAGTTTGAGCTGTTTATGGTGTTCATGGCTCTTGTGGCAAGTGGGTCGAAATTTCGGCGTCGCCGAGGAGTCTGGTTCATTGAGAACGTCGCCGGTTTAATGCGCCTCATCCAGGAGCTTGAAGTCATGAGCCACCATATCCACTCTTTCCTTTTCTCCTTGCATACCACGCTTTTCTGGAAATACCTTCCCTTCGCCTCCACTGGGCAGATGCGGTATCCCTCTCATGGATTCCACTTAGCCACTTTTTCAGCATGGTTTCTCCAACCTGCTGCCGCGTTGGGAATTCTGTTTGGAGTGTCCAGATCGATGACCCAGAGTGCAGTGTCACTCATCTCTGAACTGGCAGCGCTGTGAAGCAGTCCAACGCAAATCCTGTGTGAGCCACAGCCACTCAAAATCTGGCAGGGAGAGAACAAATTATCCGACTATCCCAAAGCAGCGCCTTCACTTTCGGAATCGTTGGGCATATACCAGCAACGCAGTTGATATGATGTATGATATGTGTGCGTGTACAGTAGCTGTATAAAGTACTCCGGGACCAGAATGCATTGCACAGATTTTTGAATTGCGCCATCTACCTAGGTGTGTCATTTAGAGGGGGGCTTGGCATCAGTTGATGGCACAGCTGAAACAAACGCGCCATCTACCTAGATGGTGACCCTGATCACCATCCAAGGAGATTACTCTGCAAAAAATGCAAAAAGTCGGGCGTTACTCTGCAAAAAGTTGATGAGAAAATAGATGGCTCATCAACCCAGGGAGACTGATTTGAGCCATAAATGCTGTACTGTAACACTTGATCGCGCCCCGCCATCCTCGCCCATTACCAGCTTCGAGTTCAAGCTTGTGGGACGGCGGTTGCTCTATGCCCCACCATCCTCGCCCATATCAAGTTCAAGTTCAAGCTGGTGGAATGGGGTTGCTCTAATCAAACATCCCTTCAATAAGCGCATCACAGTACTGCGCAGTATTCAATTTTGCCACATTTGTTCGCACAGGATTTGAATATTGCACACCTCTCTGTGGGCATAGGCTGAACTCTGGTCCGCAATGGCGACTGATGTTGTCACGCTATAGCATAAGAGGAGAGGGTAAGGAGAGTAGAAGAGAGTTTGCAACCTACTTCTCACAGGGACCACTGAAATACACGACCAGGGGAAGGTAAAGGAGAAGCGAATGAAAGGAAACAAAAGGATAGGAAAGGAAAGGGAAAGGGTGTGAAAGGAGAGGGAAAGGAAACATTTTGGAAAGGAAGGGAGAGGAGAGGGTAGGGAGAGTAGAGGAGAGGTTGCGCCATCTACTTCTCACAGGGACCACTGAAATTTAGGGCCAGGGGAAGGTAAGGAGAAGCGAAGAAAAGGACCCAAAGTATAGGAAAAGGAAATGGAAAGGGCATGAAAGGAGAGGGAGCGGTTGCACCATTTAATGGTTCAACCATCATTATCACCTTTCACACAAGGTTGTGCCATCTATATACTTGGCTGGTATCGTGCACTGTTCGGAAAATTGGTCAATGGAGTTTGAAGTGGAAGCACAGGGAAAGGAAAGGGGAAGAGAAAGGTAAGGGGAGGAAAGGGAAAAGACAGGAAACCAAGGGTGAGGAAAGGAAACAAAGGGAGAAGACAGAAAGATAAAAAAACACAGGAAAGAAAAGCAAAGGGGAGGAAAGGTACAGGAGAAGTG